ACTTTCAGCATTCTTTGCCAACACCACAACTCAAAAGCATCGACTCTTCTTTTCCTTTTTCATCCATCTCTCAGATGTATATGAGGTGATTGAAAATATCATGGCTTATGTCAAGCACACCTTAGTCTTTAAGGAAACATCTTTGCTCTGCAGCACTTGAAAGAGGTCCTTTGTAGCAGATTTGCCCAATGCTATACAATGTCTGGTATCTTGCCTGCTGCTTCTGTTGGTGTTGATTGTAGAACCAAGTAATAAGAAGTCTTTGACAACTTCAATCTTTTCTCCATCTATCATGATGCTGCTTATTGGCCCCATTGTGAGGATTTTTGTTTTCTTTATATTGAGGTGTAATCCACACTGCAGGCTGTAGTCTTCAGCCTTCATCAGTAAGTGTTTCAATTCATCCTCACTTTCAGCGAGCAAAGTTGTGTCATCTGCATAATGTAGGTTGTTAATGAGTCTTCCTCCAGTCCTGATGCCACATTCTTCTTCATTTAGTCCAGCTTCTCGGATTATTTGTTAGCATTGTTGTTGTTGTTGTTGTTATGTGCCCCGACTCATAGCGACCCCTCCTTGGGTTTCCGAGGCAGTATCACTACGGAAGTAGGATTGCCCAACCTTCCTTCCGAGGAGTGGCTGGTGGGTTTGAACTGCCAGCCTTCTGGTTAGCAGTCAAGTGCTTTAGCCAGCATACAGATTGAATAAGTATGGTGAAAGGATACAACCCTGACACACTCCCTTCTTGACTTTAAAACATGCTGTGTCCCCTTGCTCTGTTCGAATGACAGCCTCCTTCTCATGAGCACAATTAAGTGCTCTGGAATTCCCATTCTTCTCAATGTTATCCATAATTTGTTATGATCCACACAATCGAAGCTTTTGCATCATCAATAAAACACAAGTAAACATGTTTCTGGTATTCTTTGCTTTGCACAAAGATCCGTCTGAAATCATGAATGATATCTCTCATTCCATGTCCTCTTCTGAATCCAGCTTACATTTCTGGAAGTTCTCTGTCAATATATTGCTGCAACAGTTTTTGAATTATCTTCAGTAAGATTTTAGTTGTGTGTGATATTAATGATATTGTTCGATAATTTCCACATTCTGTGGGATCACCTCTCTTTAGAATGGGTGTAAATATGGATCTTTTCCAGTCAGTTGGCCAGGTAGTTGTCTTCCAATCACTTGGGATAGCTGAGGGTGAGCCTCTAGCACAGCATCCATTTGTTGAAATGTCTCAATGGATATCCCGTCAGTTCCTGGAGCCTTGTTTTTCACAACTTCCCTCAGTACACCTTCAATTTCTTCCTTCAATACATTTACAGTAGATAAATATTTTTCTAACAATTTTTACTTTTCACTTGTTTTCAGGAAATGAAGTCTGTTAAGAAACATTATCCAATCCCATTAATAACTGCCACTGAGTAGGCAAAAACTGAGGTAAAAATCAGTGATTATCAGGAATTAACGTCAAGCTTGAATTTATTTATTTTTACTTTCTTTCAATTATTTAAGAAAAAAAAAAAGGCAGAAAAAATATGAGTTATCAATGCTTACCTGATGGAGAAGATCACTAAAAAAATTGGGAACTAAGAAATCTATCTCTCTTTTATTGTTGTTTTTCTTTTCTTGTTTTATAGAGTCTTGATTTATTAGTCCCAAAGAATATTGCTTCTAAAAGGATCTTTTCTGTCCACTGATCATAGCTTAATGTTATGTTAAATAATATTCCAATCTTATGGGAGGAATATAGATATCAGTATTATCATTTATTTTATTTTTAAATACTTATATGACACTTACTAAGATGAAATGTATGAACTTGAGTATAGACAATCTTAACTGAGAGACCATCTCAAGAATAACTTTGACACTA